TATTATTATTATTATTATTATTATTACTATTATTATTGTTTTTATTATTATTGTTGCTGGTGTTTTCAGTAAAAGTTTAACATCTATCTATTAATTTGAAGTTCAGTAGACAAGGGGACGACTGAAACAGTACTATCAATGCTGATAAATATTCAGCTGGATTTTATGGTTTATTGAAGATATTCCTTCGAAGACCGTTTCAGTGGAAATTGACGTTTAAAGTTGCAGGCAGATAAAATATGTTTTGAAGTTTCAATTTTGAAAACTTCAATGTCTAGCAAAGGGAAGAAAAAATGAGATGTTTACAGTAGTCTTCGGTTGTATTAGATGGAAGACTACAAAAATTGTTGGGAATTTTAAAACAGCAACAACAGCAGAAGACAGTTAATTAAGCAGTTAGTTGAAGGGTATGTTTAGATAGATGACGATGATCAAAGCAATTAGTGAACTTAATTGAAGTGTTGACTAATTAGGTACTGTAGAGTGTCACAGCTTTGTAAACAATGTCATTCTGAAACCTGTTCATTAATCCACCAAAGTGTTGATGCTAAAAAACAAAAAAGAAAAAAAAAAACTTGGGGACGATGAATAGGGGAAAATAAGAAGGAGAAAAACTTGTGTAAATAACATTCAAGATGTCATATTATTTCAATTACAGATTAGGGTTCATCTTAGTTTACAGAAGAACCGTAAATGTCTTTTAGGCATTATTTTGTTGACTGCTGCCAGAAGAATAAGACAAAAAAAAAAAAAAGGAGGAAGAGAAAGAAGGAGAAGAAAGTGGACGAATAGATGATCGTATGCAGAGGTTTTAAGTGTACTGTAGGATTTAAAACTAAAGAGGGCTTTTTTGTTTTCTTTTGTTCAAACAAGGAAATTAGAAAAAAAGACTACTTGTTATTCATAGAAGAAAACAGTTCTAGTTCCTTCAGTAACATATATATTCAATTACTGTTACTGCTGACGTGTATTTTCAATAATAAATTTATAAAAAAGAATTCTTTTGTATTTGTTTTAGCAGTGAACAAAATTAAAAATTTAATGCAATCTGTGAGCGTTCTTTCTTCGTTCAGAAATTGAAAGATTAATGTATTTTTGTGCCTGAAAAGATTTATATAAATCTTCTGCCATTGTTAATTGTTGATGATTTGATGATGATGATGATGATGATACTATAGAAGTAGAGAAAACTGGAGGGATTTGGCAGAAAAATGAAAAACCAAAGGATGAATACTGCTGCATTTGGTTAAGCTAAATCATTTATTGCTAAATCACATCGATTTACTAAAGGCTTTCATTTTCCTTTTTTTTTGTTGTTGATTACATAATTATTTAAATGAATGGACATTTTGAATGATTGTCGTTTGATAAGAGAAACAAAAAAAAAAACACCGAAACGAGCTTCTGGAGCTGCTGCTGCTGCTGCTGCTGCTACTGCTGATGTTATTGTTGTTATTGATGATGATGATGATGATGATGATGGTGATTAAATAAAACTTGGATGAACATATACAGTCACATATCTGATGCTTATCACTTGAAATCACCTGTTTTTATCGAGATAAACCTGTTGGCCTGTTAGATCTGTTACCAATTTCGTTTTTTGCCAATTCTAATTGTTATTGCTATGTT